TGGCATACGCCGAGTGGGAATGAAAGACATAAGTTTGTTACATTCATCGAAGAAGTGCGCAAACAAGTTATATTATATTCGAAGAAGAAATACGGCTGTCTCGCAGCGCATTGGCAGTTCGTTTATTTCTTTTTGATATAAATTAAATGATTGGCAAGAGAAAAAAATTTAGATATAAATCATGAAATGTTTCTCGTATTACGTCAATATCTGTGATGTCCGCGCACCGCAATCTCGCAAACGTCGAGAGCAGAAATGTAAATTATCCGGATATGCGTCTCTCGAAGGCTTCCTCGCGCAAGGAAGATTCACTCGCGTCGCTGTAAACGCGTCGTCCAGGGGCTACTTCGCCTCCGCTCCGTAAAATCCGAAGAATCTCTCCGATGCGACATAGGATCCCGCAGGCGACGGCGGCTCGTCGCACGAAATTTGCAAGCAAATTGCCAATTCTCAGACGGCCCGGTGGACACGGTCACCGGTGTGCATGCGTTCGTGCGCGCGCGCGCGCAGATGTCGATGAGACGCACGAGGTATGCAGCCATCTGCGACCTGATAGCCAAGAGCTGTCTCCGAAATGTACCGTAATGTGGAATTCCATCGCACGTCCAAACGCGACAAGACGCAATACGCTCGGAGAATACTACGACGAAGACTCTTAATCCGCTTTTCGATTTTGAAGCCCGAATGGCAATCCGATTTCATTGACAGATTCGACGAAATCGGGTTATCGCTTGTTACGGATTTCGTGGATTATATTTTTGAAATTATTAGTGTCGTCTATTTAACGTCAATTATAAAATACCTGTTAATTATAGAAATTAATTAAGAATTAAATTTTGTAAATGATCATTTCACTTGTCATTCCTTAATGCAACGTGACATTCGGAAATAGAATTATGATCCTTTTAAGCAGAAGAGAATAATTCTAAAATATTGGTTTTGGCATATTTACATTGAAATTGGAGAAAAATCTCTTACAAAAATATAGATTAAAATAAATAGAAAAATTCTTGATTATAATTATTTATAGATAAGTAGCATAATATAACAATTAAAAATATTAACGCAATTTTATTTAAAATAATTTCCAACAATTCACCTTTTTTTTTTAATAAGAAAGCATCAAGAATGTATGTTATTCTGCAATCAATTTTATAACATTATTTGTTCATATATATCTTGAACATAAAATTTATTTTATATACCTACTGTTCATTTTATATACTATTTATTTTATATGTCATTCACGATTTTAGCACACTTTAAAATACTTTCTATCCTACACACTTTTCTCTTCGCAAATTAATTTATAAAGTATCAAACGCAGAAGATTTTGCAGCAGAATGTACGTCGCACGTTCGAATACGCACACAGATATCAAAGTTAGAGATTATTTCGTCGACTTTTAGGTATCTGAATTGCTGGGCAAGCATCGCGCTGGAAAAGTACGACAAAAGCTCCTTTCAATTAGCAAATACTTAAGCACTTTCTAAAGACCGTCCTACGCATCAGTATACCGTCTTTGTACATGTCGAAAGATTCTCCATTAACTCGAAGTGAGATCCTTTTTCATTCTGCCGTTTCTTTCAAAAGATCGTAAATGTCTTAAGATTGGCGAAGACCTCGACACCACGAGGCCTTTCGCAGTATCGGAAGAGTTCCGTGGGGAAATGAAAGAAATCGCGTGGCTCTCAACGCTTTATCTTTAAAATATACTTTTCTTTAGAGTATTTGTCTGAAGTGTTTAAAGATAAAAATAATCTTATAAATGTAATTTTGAGATGCAATATCTTCTTTTTATTGATTACAGTTCTTTGAAGAATTTATAGAATTCTATTGACAATATAATTCGAGTAGCGATATACGACTACACGCGATCCGAAAACATGTAAAAGTACTTAAGAGCAATACTGTGTGTGTGTGCGTCGTGTTTGGATGAATTAAAAAGCCGCATTATACGACACATTGTCGCGGGACGACAAATACAAGCGGCAGTTACATCGCGAGCGAGCAAAACATCAACCGCGGTGCAAGAAGGCGAACAAAACGACGCAACGTATTAAAGTGTCGGAAGCCTTAACGAAGAACGGGAAGCGATACACAAGAAGCAGACGCGGACCAGAGACACGAGCTGGACGGGCGGGGCGTCCACGGTCCGTTGGACAAAAAAGCACTGAAGGCGAAAAGCCAAGAGAGAAAGAGCCGAAGTACGATAGAAAGAAGAGGAAGAAGAGTGGAGAAAAAAAGAGGGAGAAAGAAGCGAGGAGAAGAAGAGAAGGCCAGTAAAAGATAGAAAGAGCGAGTTGACGGAGAAAGCAAATGCCGCGTCTTAGTGTGTGAGCGAAACGGACTGCAAAAACAGAAATTGCAAGATGTGCAACTGCAAGCTCTTCTCGGGTGGACGAGCGCAGGGATTGCCGACGACGTCAGCGGAAGGCCCATCCCACAAACCGGCCCGAGGCTTCCACCCTTTTTCCTCTCGTGGATCCCTTCCAGCTCTCGCTCGAAAGAGCTTAGACGAGAGACCGACCGGTCCTTGCCCACAGCGATTCCGCGGTGTTCTTTTCAAAGTACGAAACGGAACAAAAGGCACGGGGGAAAAATCCAGCTCCCGGGCGTCTTGATAACGGGATTTTCATACCGATCGTAACTTTGAATCGCTAAGCGATCTGAGGGAGCCGATAATTCTCAGAGAGACTATTACGCTGCGCCGTGTATTCTGGAAAGTATATAATTTTTAGCGGCCGCCTCTAATAGCGCCGACAATGTTTATGACTTGCGAAAGTTCGCGCGAGAATGTACGTCGCGCCAAGAGAGTTCGCCCGGATCGAGCGCGCTGTTTTAAATAATGAAACTTGGAATTACGCCGCGTAACTCGCCGGGCGCGATCCGGCGAGTCGCAGAAATTTAGATGCACCAGTTACGCGAAGAATTAAAGCGGCGAAAAAGCTGTCGAAGCGGCGCGAAGCGATGCGCCACTATCAGGAATTATTCCCGAGTGCGCACATTTCAGCTTTCATCCGTATCGGAAGCATTTCACGTCCCTCGGTTTTGTCGACGCGCAACGGGTCTATTAAGATTATTAATATTTCAGGGCAACAATAACGAAGCCAACCGCCAATGTTATCGCATTAGAAATCTATTTCCAATAATTGTTCGCCAATTAAGGGTCCCGTCGCGCCATAATGCGCATTTCCCCACGCTCGATATCGATTACCCTCTAAAATATCCAATACTTTTCATCTCCGTCTTAAAGGGCACAAAGCACACGATCCTTCCATCTTTTCCATCTTGGCCTTTCCCCCATTCCCCCGTATTTCTGCCGGAATAAACTTCCCTCTATTTCTTTCGCACCCTCCTATCGTCGGTACTCGCGCTTCCGCCGACGCACCCTCCCCCCCCCCCCCTCCCTCCCTCGGCCACTCTTCTTATTTCACTCCTCCTCTACCTCTTCTTCGTTCTCACCCTCATATATTGATTACATAAGCGACCGAATATACTAACTCAGCTAAAAACGTCCTCCGTCCGTGCCTCTCCTTTCCTCACGCCCGCCCGAAATAGCGTTTATACCGCGACCAGCCCCCCGAGCTGCGTCATAGTTAAACGGCAGCAGGGGGATGAGAGGAACTGCATTAACAACGTTTTACGAATCCTCAGCACGACCGGCGAAGCGGACCATCACGATCATATTGTGCAGCGCGATAAAGCTAATCGATTACATGTACTTGCCGCACGTACCCGGCGTAAAGTGCATACGTAATGTTGTCCCTTCGAACGAAGCGTCGGATTTCCTATTAAGCAAGAGTGCCTGGAGTTTACAAATTATCGGGGCTTTACGAAGGAAAACTTTTTTAAGAAGAAAAAGAAAGAGAAAATAAAGATGAAAGGAAATCGTCGGACAGAAAAATAATAAAATGTAATTCACGTTGATTGATAATATCCACAATTTAAAATAAAAGAAACATTTTATCCAATTTTTTACTACATGCTTTAAAATAAAAACGCCTAGAACTAATGATGTTAATTACCAAATTAGCGATACCGAAAATAAAAAGATTTCGGAATTAGCCGATTTTTATTTTCCAATTAATGTACGCTAGATTTAAAGAGCGACTCATTTACATAATTATCCAACTGTGTCACTGCGAAGATTAAAAGCTCCTTAATTAAGATTCAAAAGCGGAAACGTGTAACGATTTATCAAGATTCGTTTAATTTATAGCGGACTTTTTTTTTGTTTGAATTTGTGAATAATCTTTCTTGCTTGTTTGATAAGGAAAATTAGAAAAAATTCTTGAAAACAGATAGGTACTTGTGAAATTTTTTCTGTGAAAAAAAGCCGTTCTTAAAACCATTGAAAAAAAACACCGACTATAGTATTTGTGCTATAAAAAACTCCACTGTTAATATGATCCTTTCATAGAATATCTTGTATAACGAACATGATTCGAAAAACAATATATAAAGCATCGTTATTGCGGTAGAAAGTTCAAGTAATATACATTACACGTCTACGCTCTCCGAGCACGCGTAATTCATATGCTTGGAATGCATAATTGGTATTACCGATAAAATTAAAGTACTTTCGGTGAACAGTAAAGCGTCCATTAAAACTTTTCAGAGGGAGGATCGCATCCCCGTTCGCGGTGAATAGACCACGTCTCGCTTTTGAAGCCTCTCTAGTTATGATCGTTGCACGCTTATAACGTTTCAGCATGCATGGTCGTTGAAAAGGCCTATACTTTTGACAACCATACCATGTTGCTCACGAGATAGAATTGTTCTTCAAAAATCTATCAAAACTATTAATTTAAAAGAGACGTATTTTAATCGATGATTCTTGCCTTATTTTATATTCTCAATAAATAGGAAAGAGAACTTTTTATAAGATGCTCACAAAAACAAGAGAATTAGCTATTTTATCTGTTTAAAATGTATATTAAGCTAGCTTCTTCACATTTATCACAAAAGAGATGCATTTTTTATCATAAATTACTTACCACAATGCTGCATCGCCGTCGTCCGATGCCTCCTAGGCCTCGTCCTCTTCTCAGTGGCTGTTCCAAGCACTCACACGCGTCGCGACGCGCGCATTGCTCGCGCGCGTACCCGAATGTAAAAATCGCGCGATACTTCAAATGGCACTCCCGACATCGCAGGCGAATCAAACCAAACTGTCCAAGCTGCGACGTTACGCGCGAATTCCGTCCGCGTTTCAGACGACCACATTTACCAATTGGGGCACGATTCTCTCAAAACAGAAGGCAAAGATAAGCTCGAAGAAGATGAGGTGCGATTAGTCATCCAATCAATCGACTAGATACAAGACATCTGAAAAGCAATCGGTAGCGTTTGACTAACTCCGGTAGCCGTCCTCGACTACCTTCGACAGTCCGGCTATCTGTACAACTAGCGCGTTGCACGTAGAACCGAAGATTGCCCTGCCGTAGTCGAGATTTTATGATTGAAACCGACCTTTCCCTCCCCCGAGCCAAGCCTAAAGTCAAAAAAAATCGTGTCCCAATATTTGTCATACAGCAAAAATGCGTTCATCTATAGATTCGCTAAAATACGGCGTTTCGTACTCGCGCGAATCTATCACGGCACTCCCGGCATAACGACACTCCCGCACTCCCGACGCGCGTTTGATTATATTACGATATTACGGCGGAACGAATACGATGACGCGACACACAGAAGTTTATCTGTAAAATATAAATACATTTACATTAAAGTGATATCAAAAACAATACTATAGTTATACAACTGTAGTTTAATAATAATATTATCCGTAATAATGAATAGAATTTATTATTCTAACAATCTAATTTTTTGTGCCGAGATAAGTTGATTATCTTTTGTCCATTTGGAAAGTCCATAAAAATTCTTATAAATAGGTTTTTTAAAAATCTATTGCTTTATAAAAAAGAGTCATCTTTCTTTGTTACCTTTCAGTAACGTTTTTCACAAAAATATCGGTTAAAGATAAATTTATCAGCGGGCATTTATCTTCGTTTTCAACCGTAAAACTGCAGAACAAAAATTCGTAATTTTTGTCATGCTTGCAGAACGTAGGGAAATATAAAAAGTAAATGAGAGAGAGAGAGAGAGAGAGAGAGAGAGAGAAGCGAAATTGGAATTATGTGGAGAAGGACAATAAAACTATGAAGCAAATCCCAATCGAAATTTAATAGTGAACTGCAGTGTGCGTCGGGCGACGCAAAATAATTGAGTCAAATATGAAAATGCCGGAGCGGACGGAGCGGCGGAAGATTGACCGAAAGGGAAAATTGATAGAATTATTGAAACAAAGGCCGGGAGGGGGAGGGGGTGTGGGTGGGGGAGGCCTTTAGTGCCGATCCTCGAGGACGCAAACACGCGAATTAATTTGCCTGTGACGCTTTTTTTTCACGGGTATTGGAAGGACACCAGTCCCTGGGTTGAAAACTCAATGGGGACGGAAAACTCTGTAGCCGCATAACGAACCGATCTAACCGGGCCGGAGAGAAAACGCGCCGCGAAGTCGGGACAAAGAGGAGCGGAACAAGAGAGAAAGAACGCCGGGCACAATGAAGTATGAAAAAAAAACGCGTGCCAAAAATTCCATCTCGTTGGACGCGCCATTTTTACACGTTGCCGCCCTTGGGGAATTGAATTTCTATCGGGCGCCACGCTTGATCGTTCCGACAAATTATTTGTCGTTCTGACTTTCGTCGACATGGCGACATCCGTTTTTCTTTTTTGTTCTGTTCTTTTTTTTCCTATTTTTTGGGGAAGCCGACGAACGCATATCGCAGTTGTTTCGTAGCCCCGTTGTTTCTCTGTACGAAGTTTGAGCGGCTCGCTAATGCCGTAACCACAGCAAAGTTATGCGAAGCGAACGGATTCATTATCCGCAAAAAACAGGATTTCGTTTTGGAACAATTGTCAGTATATAACGGTATATAACTTGTTTTAGAATTGATTTTTTACATCTTAAAATTATTTATTATTTAATCACACAAATACGTTGCCGTTTCTTCTTCTAATTAATGGAGGTGTCATTGTCATAAATATACATATATCTATAGCAATTTGTGGAAATTAAATATTCAAATTGATTTAACGATTATTCCGAAATAATTCATAAAATTTGTTCATTTTTTAGCAATTTAAAATTTACTTTTATTTAATAAAAATATTGAGCATCTCAATTTTAAACTTTTATTCTCCAATGGATAGTATTTTAATCTTAGTCTCTACAGAAATCGAAATTCAAATTAGTTTTGTTACTCCGAAGCGACAGGACTTTGACAATGCTGGTCGCTAATGATAACTTCAGGATAGCAATTTTACGCACAACGCGCAACGTATTCATTCATCGTGGGCATTCTGAGCGCGAGACGACGGCGGATACGTGAGTTCATCAGGATGGAAAACTTCTCGGTCGCGACATTGTCGACATTGAGAGGGAATCGTGAGAAAAGAAGCTCAAGCGCCGGTAGGCGTCCCTTGGGTGCGCCGGTTTCCTTTTCGCGTAGAGAGAGAGAGAGAGAGAGAGAGAGAGAGAGAGAGAGAGAGAGAAGAGAGAGAGAGAAGAGAGAGAGAGAGAGAGAGAGAGGGAGAGAGCGGGAGAGAGACGGCGCTCGGCAGATACCGCCGCGATATGCATTATACAATGGACGCTCGTTTTTCACGCTTAATCTCATTAAACTCCACCGCTTCGCCACCGCTCCCGCGGGGTATTGCCCGTTATAGAAGTAGAAAATCAAATCTGCAAAAATATACGCACGCGCGCTGTGCAACGACCAACGCCGCCGTGTATAAATACGGAACGAGCTAACGCGATTACTGCGTCGTGCCGATAATCCTTAATGCATTCGTTAATGCAGAAGTCGGTGCGTTTCGAGCGCCGGTTGCCGAGGCGCCAGCCGTAAAACACTATCCCGACACGGAGCGGATAATGAGAAACGCGATTATGGAAAAGCACGCATCGACGCATCGTCAAATGTGGATGTAAAAACGATCGGCGGGTTTTTCGATTCGTCGGCGCCCTCGTTATCGTAGTAGAATTGAGAAGCACGACACCGAAAAGCTCGCACAACGTAGAAGGAAAAGGAAAAGAACGAGCCGAAAAGAACGAGTCATGAAAATTTTCCTCTCTCATCGAGATTCCGAAAAGCGTAAGAAAGCGCGCGCGCTCGCACGCAAGGTCGTCGCGTCTAACAGCCGGAAACCGGGATTAAAGTCGCGAAGAAATAATTTCTGCGTCGAAGGAGACCGGCGTTTTCACGGTGGTTCGATCAGGGAGGGATCTCGTTCCACGGCCGCCTCTCTGCAGCGGCCTTTCACGAACGCGGAATAAACGTTGGTGGCGGGGTTAGGATTCGCGTCTTTGAACTTGACACGGGTCACCTGACTCCGCTACAACCCCCTTGCCGGCGTTCCCGCTCTTAAACCCCACCAGAGCTTCCTCTCCTTGGTGAACTTCACTCGACTCCGAGCTAACGGTGCGAGTCGTGGAATCTACCCTCTGCGTGGGATCCCTTTTTCGGCGTATCATCGTTGCATCGCGTGCTCATTGACAGTTTTACAGCGTAGCTGTATGGCCGTCTTGGGCCGAATATATCACGCCGTACGAAAGAATAATGTCACAATTAGTGGAGTAGGATAAAAGAGGATAAGCTTTTATTTTATGATTATTTCTACTTAAAAGATTCTTCTTAAGTTTTTATGTAAAAAATATTATTATATCATTCATGAAATATTTATAAATAAAAGTTCTATTGTGTGAAAGTGAGGTATTGAATTTTTTGTCCACGGTCTATTTACAGAAATTTATTTAAAATTTTATCTTAAAAATTTTATATCGCGAAATCATGGCACTAATATAAAAAAAAAAAATTCTGTCCAAAATGGTCAAAGAATTATAAATGTCCGAATAATACTCTGTGTATACAGCATTAGCGTAAAGTATTGATGTAAATCCCGGTACAAAGTATAAAGTCAGTTCAACTATTGTAGATTGACACTATCCGTAGAACATTTCGAATCTTGAACTTGTCACAGATTAATGGATCGCCTAGGTCTCATGTTTATTTTCTCCCCCCCCCCCCCTCCTTTTGTCCAGTTTTAATGAACCTCGTTCCGCTCGAAACTATAACCGCAACTTGCCGTGCTCTGTCTGAGTTCTCCGATACACTCCTTCTTCACCGAAAGTTTTGGTAAGTTCATGATCTAGCGCGACTGTTCCGCTCGAGAACGATTCTTCTCGGTCCGCTGGCAAAGTTGCGCTTACAATTAGTGAGGAGCAGCCGGAATAATCGGAAGCTAATTCAGAAACTGCTTCGGAATAGCGATAATTAACTGAAAAGCGAGACGGGAAAACGGCGTTACTGAAATTTCAAGTGATCTACATCTAAATCCGGCGCGTGTCGTTCGAGGCTCGAAACGAGACTTTCCCATCGCCGCGATTCTTTACGACTGTTTCGCAATTCCGCCACGGTATATATCGCTCGGTGTGCCATCCCGGTGTTTTATAATACAGCACCGATCCGCGCTGGACGATTCTCTTTATTTCTCTATTATGTCCGTTCTGTTTCCTCTGTTTCCTTGTTTTTCCTCCCGGCCCGGCACTTGAGATTTTCTCCGGTTCGTTCGGCTTCATGAAACTTTTATTACGAGCCAACGTTGTTTCTTACAGCGGTACTTTGATCATTTTAAATCGTAGTACAAGTACGTTCAGATTAAACGAAAGAAGCCGCGCGCGTTTATCTCCCGGAACAGAGAAAATACAAAAGAAACAGAACCAAGCGCAACGCAACGTAACAAGAAGGAAACATCTCGTTTTCGTTGAGTATCTTGTTGATTGCACTATGCCATTCTACTAATTGATGTCTACCTTGTTCTACGTGTAACGAGTGGTTGTTGCGTCGTGAATTAATTAAGTTGCATCAATATATGTATTGTAGTTGAAATAACAAATGACGAATTGGCAAATTGTTATCGCATAAGGCGAAATCGCTCGGCCAAAGGGAGGAATTTTAAATCATAATATTACGTTGGACTGCATTAATTAATGAAAGGACACTCGACGCAATTAATAAAATCATATAATGAAACACATGAATTGGCCAAGTCAGCATATTGAATTCACCAAGTCGCATCGCCCTCGAAATATATATCGCATTATGGAAATAATTTTATCTTTCAAAAGGTTGTTTTCACGCGCGTTCGATGAGAAATGTGCGCCCTCGGGAAAATTTAATGAAAGCAGGATCAATGAAAAACGTTACGTTGCTTTATCAACTCGTTGTAGCATTCATAATACTAGGCTCTTAAATTGAATGACGTTAATGCCTAATACACCCTCAAAATTGTTGAATCCGAAGTCGAGCGTGGCGCTAAAAACTTTTAATCAATTTTTCCAGCGTCACTTTATAATAATTAAATTTTAATAGTATTAAAATATCGCTGCAAAATTCTACGGCAACAGAATATTGGAAAATTCAAGATTATTGGCACATGTGTTTCTAGTTTAATATTTTTTAATGTGTTTACATTTCCTTCAACGCGAGTTTTAATATCAAAAAATTACACACGTGCGTTTTCCGACGTTTACCAGAACATATTAATCGACGGGACAAGTTTGATTATTAACTCGCGTCCCCCTCCGTTCGCCGCAACCTCTTGTTTACTCCCAGTTCCTAACGATGTATATGGTGAC